GTCATTACCAGCAGGTTTTCTCAGTGAAACACGTCTTTTTATCTCCTGGCTGCTGTTCCCATGGTGTTGATTTGGAATTCCAATAAAATGGAGTAGTTGACAATGTCAATCTATTCTCCACCTATCATGATGTTGCTCACTGGTTCATTGGTGAAGATTTTTGTTTTCTTGATATTAAGATGTAATCCATATTAAAGGCTTTAGTCTTTGATCTTTTTTGAAAGTGCTTCATGTCTTCATTATTTTCAGCAAGCGTAACACAAGCTGAAAATCTTCCTCCACTTCCGATGCCACATTCTTTTTTATCATACTGCTTCTGGAATTATTTGCTCAGTATGTTGCAAGGAGGGACTAGTGCTTGGAGAAGGATGTCATGTTTGGGAGGGTGGAGGGACAGCGCAGGAGGAGAAGACCCTCTGTGAGGTGGATTGATTCAGTGACTGGGGTAATCGGGGTAGGTGTGCTGGAGACAGTGAGACTGGCACAGGATAGAGCAGGGTTTAGGGCTGTTGTGCACAGGGTCGCTATAAGTCGCAGGTCACTCGATGGCACATAACAAGAAACAGACTAAGTATGGAGAAAGTGCACAGTAATGACACACACCTTTCTCGAATTTAAACCATGCAGTGTTCCCTTGTTCTGTTTAGACAATTGCTTCTTGGTTTATGTACGGGATTTATATGAACACTATTAAGCGTTTCAGAATTCTCATTCTTCTTAATGTTAGCCATAATGTGTTATGATCCACACAGTTAAATGTGTTTGCTATGCAATAAAGCGTAAGTAAATATTTTTCTGGAATACTCAGCTTTCAGCCACGATCCATCTGACATCAACAATGATATCAGAGTTCCTTATTAGGGTAGCATTATCGTGATAACAAACCCAGACAAAGACATTAAAAAACTACAGAACAACATCCCTAATAAAATGGATAACAAAGTCTTTTATAAACCATTAGCAAATACAATCTAGAAATATACAGATGGATAATGCATAATAACTAAACACAACTTATCCCAGGAAAGTTCAATCAATCAACATAACTCATTAGATAATTAATTGACAAACTCATCATAGTAACAAATTTAAACAGTATGTGATCATGTAAATAGATTCAGCAAGAGCATTTTACAAAATCCAGCACTCATTCATGATTAAAATTTTCAGCAATTTCAAAACAGAAAAGAACCTCCCCAGACTGATGAGAGGTGTCTACAACACCCTACATGAACATTTTATTTACCAATGAAGACACTAACGCTTTCTCCCAGGACTATAAATTCAGAAGATATTTGCAAAACGTATTTCTCTACCCAAATCAGGATAGAGGAAAGGGTCTTGTATGCATGCGAAAGGTGGACAATAAATAAAGGCGGCCACAGAAGAACTGATGCCTTTGAATTGGGATGCTAGTACAGAATACCTGAAGATATCAAGCACTGCCCAACAAGAGTCTTGAAAAAAGGGCAGGCAGAATATCCTGGAGTGACGTATAGGGCGACGTTTCCTCTCTCATACTTTGGACAAGCTACAGGAGGGTCTAGTCCCTGGAGAAAGACATCATGTTTGGTAGAGCAGAAGGCAGTGAGAAAATGGAAAGCCCTCAATGAGATGGATTGGTCCAGGGACTAAAAAAGTGAGCTTGGGAGCAGCAAAGGTTGTGAGAATGGTACAGGATGTGCAGTTTCGTGGTTTTCTGAACACAGGGTTGTTATGAGTCCAAACCAGCTCGATGGTTTATTAACCACAACATCAACAAGGCAATCATTACTCAACTCACAGCTGTTGCATCAGAACTAACTCACAGCTGACCTTCAATTGGGTTTCGAAGGCTGTAAATGGGCTTGAGCGTATCAGAGATGATGAGGCTTGTACCGGGTAGGACAAGGTTCAGATGTGCTGTTCAAAAGGTCGCTGGAGTTGTACTTGACATCACTGAACAGCAAACTGTATGAGACTGCTCATCTCAGAGCAAGCAGTAGATTCGAGTTGTCAGAGAGGTGCAGCTCTCCGTTGGTACCACAGATGTCCACAGACTATGCCAACTAGAGCTCTATTAGCTGTCATCATTGTAACATTTCTTTTACTTAACTAGCTCTTAAAATTCCTATTATCTATTTTCACACATAGAGCCTCATGCTCTATGTTTGTTTGCTTTTTTTTTTAAAATGAAAAGATGTGGGGCTATATCAAGAAAATGAAACCCAAACTAATACCCTACCACCGATTTGGCAATATGAAGTTGCCCACCGTGACTTCCAATTTATGATGAGCCCTCAGACCTGTTTTTCATTGTTTCTGGTGAAACATTCTTCTAGGTCATACAGCTCTGGTGTGTCCACTTGTCGTACAGAGGTAACTTATGGTTGCCGTGAAGCTGAACACTGTGACACTGATGTGTCAAACGCCTTAATGGTTACCCATGGCATACAGTGTTTGGCGGAGCTTCCCAATTAAAACAAGCATGGAAGCAGGAGTGACACCCACTTCCGTAATAGCTTGTCTCCGGAAACCCTATGAACCTAAAGAAATGATGAAAGTCACACCTGTGTCGAGGACTTTTCGTTCATAGGGTCGCTATGAGTCGGCTACGACTTGATAGCACTTAGCAACAACTTCTCTTGGAAATTTTCTAGATTCTCTTTGTAACATAAAACGTAAGTAATAAGTAATCTTACCCCAGAGAACTTGGCATATAACAAATAATGTTTGGCAGCATTACTGTCATTTATCATGTGTCTCCTGAAAATCTCTCACATTAGGACTGTTGAATCTATCCCTATGGAGGCTTCTGGAAAGAGAGTATCGTTTCATCAAGATTATCCTTTAGTGGGCTTTCAAATAGCTATGGACATAACTTATAAGAAAAATGCCACATATCTCCACCCCTTTGTAACTATGCCAAGGAGAACCAACAGAGGTAATAAAGTTTTGTTTTCTTTCACACAATTGAAATCTGTTGTCTCAGATAGCTTCCATCTTTAGCTGAATGAAGATACTATAGTAGATAAAAAGACTGTGAACCCAGTGTTTGACTAATTTCAACTCAACCTAACACACATGAAAGGAAAATGAGTGACAAAAGAAAAATGAGGTCATTAAAAGCCCCTTGTGCTGTGCAGTTCTACTAACTGGTGGTAATTGGTGTAATAGAGAATATAATTGAACCAAATTAGCAATTCTTGGATTTATAAACTGTACATCAAAATAAGATGGTCTATATACATACTTTACAAGTGCTAATTATTTTTAAATTAAGTTCATTAAATGTTTATAAGACACATATTTTCTGTTACTACTATTAAATGTGAATTAGAAAATAAGTCCCTTTGGTGGGCTCTTGTTTTGTTGTTCATTTATGTACTTTAATTTATATGTGCCTGAATGAATTAAGTGTGAATAAAAAAAAAAGCCAGCATTTCCCAAGTATTTCCTTTGGTGTGTTATGTTGGTTTTCTGTTAACTTAGACATTTTAATTTAGATATACCTAAATGAAAATTTATAATTATAAAAAAATACATTTTCCAAGTGCTTCTTTTTTTCCTTTTCCCCTGTCACTGTCACTATTTGCAATGGTACAAATTCTGCAAATCACCTAACAACAGTATCATATCCTTTATTTTAATAAGTAACTTAAGGGAAAAATAATATAGAAACTAAAATTCTGGTAGTCCGCTCCACAGGAAGTCGCGTGGCTAACCCCAAGGCTGTGTGTCCTCTACATCTTGAATTCAGCAGCAGCAACCTCCTCCCATTCCAGTACAGAAACCCGGTGGAGAGTCAGCTGAGGAGGTTCCAACTGGCTGGCAATGAGTCTGAGGTTTTTTGAAAACGATTTCTATATTCTGTTAATACTCAACATTCCCAAAAATTAAACATTAGTGCCCTACCTACATAACTTGCAAAGGATTGGGATGCAGATACCTGCACTGTCTTGAAAGCAGGAGTTGCATCCACTTCCTAAACAACATGCCTCTGGAAACTCTATGAACTTTGAGAAACTATGAGAGTTAAAGAAAGGCTTCAGGCCTTTTGTTCATAGGGTCGCTATGAATTGTGCTCGACTCGAAGGCAATCAACAACAGCAACGATAACAATTATTTTGAATAGTGAAAGCAAAATACTTATATAGTAAACCAAGATCCCAAACACTTCTCCCTAATAATTAGTCTGGAGGGCAAGGAAAGCCCAGAGTCTGTCAGTGGTACACTGAAATGTTTTCTTAGTTGAGTTAGCCATTTTAGTGGTTAGAAAGAGAACAATTGCATTACTGATAGTTGTTGTTGTTGTTATGTGCCTCCGAGACGCTTGCGACTCATAGCGACCCTATGTACAACAGCCCTAAACTCTGCTCTGTCCTGTGCAAATTGCACTGTCTCTGACACTCCCATCCCGATTTATCCCAGTCACTAAATCAATCCACCTCATAGAGGGCCTTCCCCTCCTGCGCTATCAAGCATGATGTCCTTCTCCAAGGACCGGTCTCTCCTTACAACATGTCCAAAGTATGCTAGACAGAGCCTCAGAATCCTTGCCTCCAAGGAGCCACCCGGTTTAACCCTTTCCAGGACAAATCTGTTTTCCTAGTAGTCCATGGTACCCTCAATACTCTTCTCCAGCACCACAGCTCAAAGGCATCAATTCTCCTTCTAACCTCCCTGGTCATTGTCCAACTCTCTGATGCATAAAAGACTCACCTTAGTCTCTAGAGAGACACCACTACTCTTCAGTACTTTGGAGAGGTCCCTAACAGCAGTCCTTAAAAGGCAATATGCCTTTTAATTTCCTGGCAACTGGTGCCAAGAGTGTTGACTGTGGAGCCAAGCAACCTAAAGCTGTGAACAATCTCAATCTCTTCACCATCCATCCTGATGCTGCCAATTGGCCCAGTAAGTACTGCTAAACAAAAGCAAACTTCCTAAGCATAAAGTGAAGGAGGGAAAATACCAAAACAGAACCAAAGAAAAGTCTGTCTAGAGTACTTGGAGGCACCTACCTCATGTACAAGAGCAAGTGATGTCTGCTTGAAACTTCGCCCTCTACTGGCCATCAATCGGTTCAATGGTTTGCCATCTTTACTCTGATACGATGAAATATCGTAACAAAATAACATCCCACCTTAAAACAAAACAGAACAAAACTAACCTTATTAAAACGGTGATTATGGTAAAAAGGTATGTTCCATTTTCAGGCATGCATACTTACTAAATCTGAAAGTAAGATTTAACTAGGAAAGGAGAGCTGGCTGGTTAAATACGATTTTTGACTAAGCCACAGTCTTCACTTCACTCTATGACCAGAATCAATGAATGTTCATTTTAAAGGAGAACTCCTCCCCATTTGGGACTGTATTCCGTTTGCGTCCACAGTACTCTGAGGCTATATCCAGGTGTTGTTAGTAGGAGGAGTCCTCGGCCATGACCCATCCTACTCTACTTAGAAAAGGAAGTTCAATTCTTTCAGTTAAAGCCTGTACTTTGATTCTATGCACTACACTTACCTGCAAGGCCAGGTTTCAATCCTGGCTGTTTGTTTGTCTCATACATTTTCAACATAAAGTTGGGGATTCCTGCGACAGTTTTGCCTTGATCTGAACGGATCCCTGCTTTTAACGCAGAGTGATACACTCCACGCGGCATGTTCACCATTTCTTGTTTTACAAGCGAGGTGAAAAATTCCTCCAAAGCTGAAAGAGGATACATGTGTATTAAAAGCAAGGTAAATACAGTGTGCTAAAGAGAAACACTCATTCTAACTTCTATAGAAACAGCTATGCTTGAGATCCAAACATGGCACACGCAGATCTCTTGATCTCCACTGTCCTCTTCGTCTTTTTCTAGTCTTCTCCCAAATCAGTCCCTCAAGCTTTAAAAATCAGGCATCATTTGGAGCCCCCTTCCCTCTATCACTACACAATTCCTTAGCAACCCTTCTTGACCTGCCTTCAAGGTGTATCCCAAATCCACCCACTTTTCCTCCATCTTCATGCTACTTGCCTACTCATCAACTTCTCGCCACCTAGACTAATGAAATGATTTCAACTCCTTAAAAGCATCCCTACAACCCACCCGTTATCAAGAAACGAGAATTTTATTTCATTTACCTCCATAAAATCTGCCAATAGTTTTCTCACTGTTTAGAATAAGTTCTGAGGATGGAACTAGTATTCATTGATGGCATTACTACTTCAATTAGCCAAAAGGCAGAAACAAATCAACATTTCCATCAAATGACGAGTGAATAAACAAAATGTGGAATATGCACGCACCCCCCCCCCCACCGAGGAACACTGCTCAGTCATAAGGAGGAATCTTTCTGTCTAGAACACACTAGTCCAGATATGCATGTCACTGGAGGCTACATGCCGTTTGGGGTTTTCCAGAGAACAGTTTCCTCTATTCTCCCTTCCTCTGTGACAAGATCAGTACTATCAATATAAAACCAAATGTTAGTATGTTAGCTCATCGTCCTTCCCTTGCTTGTGCTCTAACCGAACCCACAATCTTTTACTGTTTGCTCTTTACCTTGTACAAGAAAATACCAGAAGACCGTAAGATATCAAAACAAAACGCTTGGTAAGATTGTACATGTCATTTTCCTATTACCACTAGAGGCTGCCCAATGCAGAAATAAGAAAACATGAAAACTAAACAAATTATAAGGAAAAGGGGTGGGATGGGAGAAAACTATTACATGCACCTCTTATTATATCAAGAGGGGAAAAAGAAAAAAACACTGCCATCAAGTCAGTTTCCACTCATTCTGACTCTGCACTGAGTTTCCAAGTCTATTACTCATGCGAGGAGGCCATCCATCCATCTCCAATGGAGTAGCTGGTGGATTCCAACCACCAACTTATCAACTAACAGCTGAACACGTCATTTATATGCCATCAAGGGTCCCTGCCTTTTTTTAAAAAAAATTTTATTTTAACAAATTTTTTTAAATAATTTTAGTGAACATTTACAGAGATTTTGGATTTCCACTCATTCATTGCTGCACTTCTCTCCCCACCCAGCCCTCCTCCCAACCCCCCCTCCAGTTCGCTCCTCTCTTTGAAAAGTAAAAGAAAGACTCCCTCCCTGGTACACAATCCCCCCGCACCCCTCCCACCGCCCCAAGTACATTCCACTATGCAGCCTCAATTGTGGACTCTTGTGATAACCATAATACCCTATCATATACATCGCTTTTATTCTCTCCCTCATCTGTTTCAATGCAGTATACACAATTTATCCAGTTTTTCTCAGTCTTACCCCTACCCTGATATCAGTCCCATTTTACAGCAGTGGGTCCTTGCCTCTTTTAACAGAAATAAATAAAAAGGATCTCACGCATGTCTCTAAAAACACAGGCTGCACTTCCTCCAGGATAGACCTGTTTGTTCCTTGAGTAGTTCTGCCAATACCACAACCCAAAGACATTGATTCTTCTGTCCTCCTTATTCACTGTCCAACTCTTACGTAAATATGAAACAATTTAAATACTATGACTTGGATCAAGCACACCTTAGTCATTAAATGGACATTCATGCTCTTTAGCTCTTTAAAGAGGTCCCTGACCGCAGCTTTGCCCAAGGAAACATGATTTTTTAATTTCTTGACTGCTATCACCATGGCTGTTGATTCTGGACCTAAGTAAAATGAAATTATTGACAACTTCAATCTTTTTTTCCATTTATCTTGAAGTTCCTGTTAGCTAGTGGTGAGGCTTTTTTATTTTCTTGAAATTGAGATATAATCGATAGAAGACTGTGGTCTTTGATCTGCAGCAAGTGCTTCGAGTCCCCTTTACAAGGTTGTGTCATCTGCATTACACATGCTGTGGAGGCGTCTTTCTTCAGTTCTGCTGCCTTATTCTTCTCCCATCCAAGTAGTAACCAGGCCTGACACTGCTTAGCTTCCGAGATCAGACGTGACCGGGTGCGTTCATGGTGGTATGGACGCAGAACGTACTCTTCTTCATACAGTTCAGCTTCTGGGATTAGGTGCTCAGGATACAGGCTGAATAGGTATGGAGAAAGGATCCAAGTCTGATGCACACTTTTCCTCACTTTAAACCACGCAGTATGCCCTGTGTTCTGTTCAAATTCTTGCTTCTTGGTCTTCGTACAGCTTTCTCATGTGCACAATTATAAACTTACACCTCTGTTGTTGAGTTGAAACGGACCATTAGTTGACCCTTCAGAGGGTTTTGGAATATTGTAAATGGCACAGGAGGAAAAAGTCCATCTTTCTCCCATAGAGCCATTGGTTGGTTTGAACCAGTTTCAATATGAGCTAACTTATGAATAATTAATTGTCTGTTTCAGAGTCAGCCCTGGTCTTTTTTGACTGTTGATACTGAGCTTTTTCCACTTTATATTTCTACAGATACAATCAATGCGATCATGTATCCATCAGGTGAGGTCCGTGAGGGCAGCTGCCAATTACATCCTTTTAAAAAAGATATCGCAAAAGAACAAACCATCGATTGTACAAAATTCTAAATGTGTTTTGTGGCCTCAATTCTGTTACCAAAACTGTATTGTCCAATTATTAGTCCTTTTTGTTTGTTCCCAACTTTTGTAGTCTAGTAAGCGATTATTACTAATAAATCCTGATTTGCATGTTTGATCAATTTCAGACTGAAAGAGTTAGTAGAAATCCTTCATTTTTCATCATCTTCGGCTTTTGTGTTTGGTGCACATAAAGCCCTGTTGTTGTTGTTGTTAGGTGTTGCCGAGTTGAGTATGACTCACAGCAACCCTGTGATCCTATCCTGTGCCATGACCATCTCTGACACACTTGAGCCCATTGCTGCAGTCACCATGTCAATCCATCTCCTCGGGAATGTTCCTCTGTTTTGCTGACCTTCCCAAGCATGATACCCCTCTCCAAAGAAGTGCTTCTAGCATCATGTCCAAAGTATGAGAAATGAAGTTTTGTCATCAAGACTATTATGGCTGCACCTTTCCCAAGACATATGTGTTCAATCTGTTGGTAGTCTATGGGATGTTCAGTACTCTTCTCCAACACTACAACTCAAAGGCATCAGTCCTCTGTCATCTTTATTTAATGTTCAGCTCTCAGATGCACAGCAAGTGACTGAAATGACCATAAGCCGAATGAGGCATACCTTAGTCCTCAAAGAGACATCATTGCTCTTCAGTATGCTGGAGAGCCCCCTGACAGCAGCCTTGTTGAATGCAATATACTTCTTGATCTCCTGATTGCTGGTACCAAGAATGTTGACTGTAGATCTAAGGAAGATAAAGTAGTTTCAATCCTTTCTCTATTGGTCATGATGCTGCCTATTGGCCCAGTGGCAGGGACTTTTGTTTTCTTGATGTTGAGATGTAAACTGTATGAGAAGCTGTATATAGTCTTTGATCTTCTGCAGTAAGTGCTTCAGGTCCTCCTCACATTCAACAAGCAAGGCTGTGTCATCTGCGTAGTGTATTGTTGATGGGTCTTCCTTTGATCCAATGCCACATTCTTCTTCATATAAATCCCTTGCTATTGTTGTGTGCCATGAAGCTAGACCCATAGCTGACCCAGTAAGTGGGTTTTCAGAGGCAGTTAGTTAATCACACGGGAGAAGACTGTGCAGGCTTCATCTGTGGATTTGATCTGCATGTTTTGGGGACCACAGCATGGCTTCTTACTACTAGACCACCAGAACTCCCTCACATAAAGCTGAAATTCCCTTATTCCTGCTAATTAGGATGTTTCCCCTCAGTCTCCCAAAAAGCTTGGTTGAAAGACCTTGATCTTGGCTTTGTAGGCTCACAGCCCCAAGTCTGCTCTGTCTCCTGTTGGTCTCAGGTTCTCTGTTACAGCTGCTACTGCCCTCAGGCATGTTCCAGTACGAGCTGGGCAGGAATCTCTAGCCCTGAAGGAAACGCACTACATTGTCTGCTGATTTTTGCTTTGCAGTAGTCAGATTCTCATTCTTCTCAAAGTTAGCCACAGTTTGTTGATCCACACAGTCAAACACCTTTGCATAGTCAATGAAACACAGACAGAAATTCCTCTGGTACTCTCTGCTTTCAGCCAAGATCCATCTGACATTAGCTATAATATCCCTAGTGCCATGGCCTCTTCTAAATTCAGCCTGTACTTCAGGCAGTTCTTTGTTGATGTGCTGTTCCAGAAGTTTTTGGATGATCTTCAGCAGAATCTTACTTGCATATGATATCAATGATATTGTTCAAAAATTTCCATATTCTTTGGAATGGGGAAAAATACAGATCTCTTCCCGTCAGTAGGCCAGGTGGTTGGTTGTCCTCCCGATTTCTTGGCACAACTTGGTGAGCACATGCAGGGCAGCATCTGTTTGTTGAAATATGTCAACTGGTATACCACCAATTCCTGGAGCCTTGTTATTTGCCAATTGAACTTCCTCCTTCATCACAACAGGCTCTTGCTCATACGTTGTTTCATGAAATTCTTCTATGTCCACCAATAGATAAGTACATTAAAAACCCTATGTGGTTATCTATTATATATAAGAAATATAAAAATAATTTAATGGAAGTGTTAGAACAATTTTTATTTAAAGATCTGGGTAAGTTTTATATCAAACCTTTTCACAAAATATGATCCATTTAAAAAATAAAACATCGGAAAAGCTTTTGAAAAAACGTTCTCATTAGAAAAATCTCTCAAAAATCTGTATCACCTTTGGAGTAACTCTGTAAGAGGAATAATGTGTCTATTCACTTAGTTTCTACAGACAATCTATATTATTATTATTATTATTAGTTCCTGATTATATAAACTAAGTAAATCACACCATAAATTTTTATACATGGTTACTTCAATTGCATTCCAATTCAGTTTCATTCCAATCTACCTTCTTCCTCCCTCCGTCCATCTCTTTCTCTCTTGTTCTCCCTTCTCTTTCTCTCTCTCTCTCTCTCATATGCTTACTATAACTATCTGCCTGTTGTTCTCTTCTGAACACCTTACAATATCAAGTAGCCCTATAGAACATATATATATAAAGCATTTGTTACAAAACAAGTACTTAGGATTAATGTACGTTATACTAAGTATATATTACATAAGAATATAGTCAGACAGGTAAGATCACCAGAAAAAGTCCATTTCCCCGACACTAATCAGTCCAGATAGTCACCTGGTAAAACTGAAGGCAAAGTCAGTGACAACAGTTTGAGGTAACAAGAGCCAGGAACTGAAAGGTCCACCTCCTTTTCATCACCCTCATCATCAGCATCTTCATCTAGGTCATCAGGAACGGGAATTTCTGGTCTTACCTGAAATAACAAGTGATGAGTTTACAGAAAGGGTAGTTCTAGAACATTCTATAGAGTCTTTTCTTCATCCTGTCTGGGTCAAATCCACTAGCTGCTCCACAGAGAAGGATGGACAATCTCTCTCATGCGATTAGCTGCCTCAGAAAACCTACTCAAGGGTCAGCTGTGAGTCAGTCCCAATTTGATGGCATATAACAATAACAAAAACAACGACAAAGTCAAGACTGAAAAACTGAGTCAGGTTCCATCATGCTATTATGTCAAAAAAATCAAAGATGGATTAAATTTTAAAAACTGTTTTCTATCACAAATAAAATTTTTAAAAACCTCAGTTTTCAAATTTAACAGTAAGATCTAGACATCTTATTAGATAAAACCTCAGTTACATGTACAGTACAAATAATAATCCAGGAAGAAAATCACCCTATGTTAGTGTAAGCAATGATTATATGACATAAAACGTTATACTGTGATATAATAAAATGCAAACACTGACACTTTCAATGTATTGAATTTCACAGCTTGTAATTAAATATTTTCCTTGTCAGAATTCCTTTTCTAAAAAAACAAAATTTGTGATTCCAGGCTACATCTCTATTATTGTTGTTAAGTGCCGTAGAGTCATAGACACATCCCTACACCAAAGCTTAAAATCTTCCAACAAAATATATATTAGAGATCAGAAAGAGGCAGAATGCCTGGGTTGTCTTTTTAAGGATTTGGCAGTTTGTTGCTATGGGGTATAAAAACACACATAAGAAGAACAAAAATTGGTAACTGTATTTCATTGGGTATAATTTGCAATTTGCAAGATTTTTGTGGTGCTTCTGTAATTAGGTAGGTATATTTGAATAAAAAATTTAAAAAATGGAAAAAGATTACCACTATTTTACTTTCCAGAAGATATAACTGTTAAGCAATTAATTAAATTTTTAATACTTTCAATGACACACCAGCATAATGCTCACATGGAGACAATTAAGCATTAGGAGAGGAAATCAAAATATATAAAAGTGGTTGCTATAACCATAAAGTGGCAGAACCCAGCCATTACCATTAGCCTGTCTACCGGAGTTATTTTTAGAAATAATTAACAATTCCTGCAGACTGCCTGCTTCATAGGTCCCCAAAGCACTGTTCCATCTAGCTGGTGCACTGAGCGGGGATTCTTGCAGGGGGGTTACAAAGAAAAGACAACAGAGAGAAAGTGAAGTGTGTCTCTTAAGTATAATATGCTCAACTCCTAGGAAGCCTCTCACCCATAACCAGCGGTCTCTTCACTAGAGAAGATGGAGAAAAGGCTGCCTGAGAGCTTTCCAAGCCCAGATTTCATTCTGATTTGTTACTGAGTACCTAATTCTCAGACAGATACACCAGCCATAATTATAGGCTAACAATCAGTTCCTCCTCTGATTTGGCAACGGCAGTGTCTGTTGACAGCTCTACACCCCAGAGAAGTGCTGGGATGTTCGCAAACCTTTAGGCTCTCTCCGCTGAGCAATTTCCCAAGTGTCCTTGGTCTTAGTACACACTCGCCATTTACTAGGTTTAGTTAGCATCAAGACTTGTTTTAGAGATTTAAACAAGACTGAGCTGGCTTAACAAAAAATGTCCCCCCAAAATAATCTAGTCCTTCATCCCTTTGCCATGTATCCTGATTAATAATATAAATGGAAAAAATAAAAAGTTAACAGCATATTGGAGGAGACAGGAAACAAGAGCTGGACATCAGTGCAGCTGGAAGCGAGACTGCTAAGCTATGTTTGACAGCCTAGTGCATCAAGGCATTGGAGACTCTGACACTTCTACTCAGCACGACATGAGACGTGGGGAGGCAGGGTGCAGAGGCGAACACTCAGCTAGTATGAAAACTCGCACGCAAGGTGAGGATGTGAACAATTCAGAATCTTCATACACGGCTGGTGGGAATGTAAAATAGTGCCACCATTCTAAAAAAGGTGATGGACAGTTTCTCAAAAAGTTAAACACAGGTACTATGTGACACAGCAATTGCATTCCCGGGTATATAACCAAAGAATAAAAGTATACACACATGGGAACTTGCACACAAATCTTCCTAGGAGCATCTTCCATAACTGCCAAATAGTAGAAGCAACTCAAATGTCTATCAACTGATGACTGTGTTAACACAAGGTGCTATAGCCTTATTATTAGCATCATTCATCAAAAAGAACCAACAACGGAGGTATGCTACTAAGAAAAGATAAATGAACCTTAAAAATATTATTCCAAGTGGAAGAAGATACTCATAGAAGGTCATATACTTTAAGATTCCATTTATATGAAAAGCCCAGTGTGTGTGTGTGTGTGTGTGTGTGTGTGTGTGTGTGTGTATAACTTATGGAAATTAAGGAGTTTATGCATAAAGAGAGACAAGTCCGGAGACATAAAATACATAAATAGTTCTTTATGGATGGAGATGGAAAGAATAGAACACTGAATGTGTCTAGGGCTTTCTTTTAAGGGAAAAAATATTATAAAATTAGACTGGTTGATGGTTATAGTAAAAATACGATATTACTATATAATAGCTAAATAAGGTTTTACAAAAGAAGATATGAAAAACATAGAGAGGGCTAAAGAGACACAGGAAGATAATACTTAAAAACAAAAAGGAGAAAGAAGAAAAACAAAAGAACAAGAACAAAATTATAGAAGGCCTTAACTGATGAGTGAACCACAGAAAATATCCAATGTCCTCGAATCCAAAATTATTCAGTATAAAAGAGATACATCATTTTCACACACATTTTACCTCATCCAACCCAAATACCCAACATGAGTCACAACTCATGTTGCTTAGACCAGGCAATCAATATCGCTGAGGCTCCTAATTAAAGTTGTTAATGTTCCGAATCATAGTGACCCTCTGCATAACAACACTGGCCTCTCCTGCACCATTCTCACAACGCTGCTATATTACAGTCCCCTGCTACATGACAACAACAACAACTACAGAAAGATTTAGGATTAAGAAAAATTGAAACAGAATAAAGGAAGAATTGAGGATAAAAAAACAATAACCCAAACACCTGACTCATTCATCTATCTTAAACGGCCTAATTTCTCATTAAAAAAACTGTAAGTCTATTCTAGTTTATCCTGCCCTTGAAAGCCAATGTTTCTGCATCTCATGTATGAAAGCATTTTAACAAAGAAATCACAAAAATACCATCATTTAAGTACAAATGGCGTACTTCACATAGTCATGGTCCAATAATTCCTTTGATTTGTTTCCTCAAAGATGAATTGACTCTGGCAACTGAGCCCTTACTGTCAGACCACGAGTATGTTCTATTTCTCGCCTCTCCTGCTCATCTCTTAAATGTTTGTTCTCCTCAGCTTCCCTTTGCTAACCCTAGACTTTCCCTTTTGTTTGTGTTCAACAAGTGAACAAGATCAAAGAGAGTACAGCTGGGGAGAGTCAAGAGGAGCTATATGAAAGAATACCAGTCAAAGCTAGACTATGCTGGTAATTGCATTAGTTTCTGAAATACCTGGGGTCAACTTCATGCATATTTAAAACCTACACATCCCCCCTTGCCCACCACAATCAAAACAAAAATAAAACTCTTCTAATTACAGATAAGCTTTGTTGAAAAAAAATGCAAATGGCATCCAAATATGTAATGATATAGTACTTTCTAAAAGCTGCTTCAAAATGAACACGGGCAAATTTATCTTTACAAAATGTCTCAGTATGGGCTCTTTTTAAGCCTGATAACCTTTCAACCACCTTTCTGTATATATAACCTATGAAAATCAAGGAGTTTGTGCATAAATAGAGAATTTTATTTGGAACATGTCAAGTATCTGCATAAATTCATTTTAAAACAGAAACAGCTTCTGATGAATGCAATGACATTCGCTTAAATCAAAGCCAAAGAGGTTACACGATATTTATACCAACCCTAGATGCATAATCAGTTACTTTATATTACTTCTGAAATTAACTCCAGAAATCAACAAAACAATCTATCTGTAAATCTCTATAATGAGAAGTTTAATTTTTAAATAATAGGATATTTCTTTTTAAAACTGTATCCTCAATCTTATGGCTAAATGTTCCTCCATTACAGATTCATTTATAAAGAAAAATTATTCTTATGTACGTTAGCATGTATGTGTGCATGTGTATGCATATCTCTGTATATGTCTCTTTCCAGTGCTACGGAAACAGAGATAGACAGCTCAAAACAAAACAAAAAAAACACAGAAGAAATACAAAGTTAAGTGAAAAAGTATTTGTATCTATGTCTAACTTTAGAATCAAGGTTTCAGAGTAGCCCCCAAAGTTTTGTTCTAGCTTTAAATATGCAAATCTAAAGTAATTACAGGGATTTTTATAATTAATTTTATAATTCAACAAGACATATCTATTTAATCAACATTCTCAACTCATAAGACAGGGTCTCGCACTTGGCAGGTATCCACCCAACAATTACTAAGCTAATACAAACATTAGTTCTCTATAAGGCTACAGGATACTAATAATAAGCTAATGAAAAGAAAGAAGAAGTTGGCTTTCAAATCCATAACTCATAGTGTCTCTTTCAGGTCTACCAGCAACTGACATTTTCCACCTCACCTAAAAGTACTGTTTCATTCAACCCTAAATCTTCCTTCTGATGTCTGTCAATTCCTCTTGCTCCTTTCGTTCTGCCTGTCCATTACCTTTCAATTGTTCTTGGTGCAGAGCAGACAATCTGACAATAAGGAATCTTGGTGTTTGAGTTCTTGAGATCCTTGCCTGGCAGAAACTTTGCAAACAGGTGAGAATTTGCTGTTATAGAACAATGAGCTTCAGATTTACATAACCACCCTATGAAAATGAAGAGTTGCACCATTGTTATAAAGCAGGTCTGACATGGGAAGAATTGGGAAGAGAATAAGGGAAAAATATATAGATAGTGAACACTGCACTGGAACAGATAAAGAACTATTTAAAAGGAATATATGATTGGGCCTTAAAAATATGACAACAGCCCAGAATAAGAGGTACACTGCAAAGAATACCGGGGGAGGGTGGAAGATTAATTGTGCAACAATGAATGAATATTAAAACAAAAAAAAGGGAACTAGGGGAGGGAGGAGGGTTGAAAGAGGGTAAAATGTGTAAGAATGAATGAATGAAAATCTAACTTTTCTGTAAATTTTCATTAAAATCAATGTTGTTGTTATTGTTGTTGTTATGTGCCGTCGAGTCACCTTGCAACTCATAGCGACCGTATGTACAACAGCCCTAAACTCCCCTCTGTCCTGTGCCAATTGCACTGTCTCCGACACTCCCATCCCAATTATCCCAATCACTGAATCAATCCACCTCATAGAGGGCCTTACTCTCCTGCGCTGTCCCTCCACCCTCCCAAGCATGATGTCCCTCTCCAAGGACCGGTCTCTCCTCACAACATGTCCAAAGTATGTTAGACGGAGCCTCAGAATCCTTGCCTCCAAGGAGCCACCTGGTTTAACCCTTTCCAGGACAAATCTGTTTGTTTTCCTAGCAGTCCATGGTATTCTCAATACTTTCTCCAGCACCACAGCTCAAAGGCATCAATTCTCCTATCCTCCTTGGTCATTGTCCAACTCTCTGATGCATAACAGGTGATTGCGAAGACCATGGCCTGTATCAGACGCACCTTAGTCTCCAAATAAGACAGAAAATTTTATTAAAAAAAATAAGGACGTGAAGAGCTGACTTCAATGTACTCTTAGAGTTTAGGGGCCTGTATGAGATGGGACTACGTTGACCATTTTCTGGACTTAGGCATTTAAGGTGCCACAACTGTAGGAAATAATCCGCTGGAGGTGGGGGAGGGAAGGACATAAAGTTCATGGTGTAATCCTGGAAGTAATGATCCTACATAAGAATCTAGATATCAGAGTGGAAAAGTCGTCTACAAATCACTCATACACTCTCATCACAAATCCATTTAAAAATATCTATTATATTGGATATTGGGAACAAATATTACTTTTGGGACTATGCTGTATTCCAGAAGGAGGTTAGAGGAGAAAAAAGATCGAAAAGGTCAAAAATAAGATAAGCCTATATAAGCTTCCCTTTATAGGTCTTCGTACTCTGAGAGTACAAACCCAAACATACATAGAAACCCCAATCCTAAGTACATCACTATCCTTCATGATGGAGAGTATAAAGAGCTACTGAAGGCTATTCAGGCATTATTGTTTTAGAAGAGTTAGGTCAAAGAAGCAGCTGATGTTTGATTCAGGAAAGCAGCTGATTAAGAATAAATTCTAACAAACATAACCAAAACTGAAAAAGATCCTAAGGTAGGATATATCAGTGTTTTTTAAAAGTAGAATTTAAAACATTAAGAGTATGTGGAAGTTATCTGATAAAAGCTACTACTCTAATTGGAATATTTCTGTAGTAATAGATGAAAGTAAAGACAGCTGTTAAGTGCCTCCCCAGATGCTGTAGATAGTCTAAAGGTAGGAGTTTGCAAATTAAATATATGTAGTTATTTCTTCTTTCTTTTTTGAGCAGCTCTGTGTATTTCTAGTTATCACATTGCCCTAAGTCTCATTTTTAAATCTCTTATTATTTATAGATGACAGGACACTTCTCTTAGGCCTCCCGTCTGTGAAAACGGAATGATCAATCAGCCTTTACAAGTCATCAAAGAACGTGAGAGATCTTACCTTATTTAAGACTGTATTTTATAAGAGCATGCCTTGAGTCTCATTTATTTGGTGATATCTACAGAAGTTTGTCCAGTTCACACTGGCATCTAAGCTCTTATAAAATTCAATCCGGAAGCAAAAGGCAAACTCATTTGGATGTCTGATGATCCTTAGAAATTCCCACCAAATCTTAGTGCTATTTCAGCTCAATGATAGATTCTGAGCAACATTATACATACATGACTTCATATAACACTATGTCAGCCTTTTGGCCAACATTCACTAAATATCTGCATGTACCAAACTGGTGGTGACCTTACGTGTGAAAGCAGATACTTTCATCAGTATGATTTTATAATAAATTTGGTTGTCTTGTTGCTGTTGTTGTTATGTGTCGTCGAGTC